TCCAATTAAAGCTCCGCAATCTCTTACCTGAAACCCTTGGGATCAGATAGAATTCAGAATTCAGAATTTTCCCCCTAGATTTTTAGGAAGACGATAGGTTGCATGTTCTGCGTATGATGGGTCACAGACAGCAGGTCCTGGGAGAGAATCCTGTATCCACATGTTTCGATGTTTCAGAAACAACACACAAGGATTTTCATAATAAGCCAGCACGCAAGGACCCTAATTTGTCTTACTTTAGTTCAGGTTATGCCCACAAATGAGTTTAAAACCAACTTTCTGATTTTAGAGGATTTGGGTTTTATGTGGGTTTAGAGGATTTGGGGTTTGTGTCGTCACGTGTGAGAAATAGATGTCCATAAACATTACCATTCGTTCACTTCCTTTCCAGGCTCAGAAGGTCAGCCTCGAGGTGCCACTTTTGTCCAGTGAAATCCATTTGTGTTGAACGGGCCATTCCATGAGTTTTGACAAATGTATGCACCACGTAACTCCTCCACAATCAAGAGGGGAGTATTTCCCGCCAAATCGCACCCACCCTCTGGCTCCCTTGCACTCGGTCCTCCCCTGCCCGTGGGGGGCGGCCGCCAGCCTGCTCCTGTCACTGTGGGGCACAACGTCGAATGCGTGCAATCGGGGGGCACACACTCTGTGTCTGGCTTTTGCTCACCGTGGAGTTTCTGAGACTGAGCCATGCTCTTCCTATTGCCGCATGGTATCCTCATATGCTCTCCATCCTCGGGAGGGACTTTGGAGCCAAAAAAACGTAGCTTTTAAATTTTGATGAAGTGCAACTTACCCCCCCCTTTTTTTGTCATTTGTGGGTAGTGCTTTTGGTGTCCTCCTCTCTGAGAAACCTGTGCCTGCTCCAATACTCTCTGGAAGTATCATCGCTTTAGCTTTTGCGTGCGGGTCTGTGATCCGTCTTTTGTTAATTTTGGTGTTGTGTGTGTGTGTAAGGGTCAGTCAGGGTTTGCTTTGTTCCAGTTGATCCCAGCACTGTTCGTTGACAAGACAGTTCTGTCCCATCGAATCGGCATCTTTGTCTAAACCATTGGACCACATGAATGTGGGTCTGCTTTTGGGTTCTCCGTTCTGTTCCTCTGATCCTCAGGCCCATCCTTATACCAATAAAACACTGCCTCGATTACGATAGCTTTATAAGTCTTGAGATCAGGCAGGGTGAGGACCCCAACTTTGTTCTTCTTTTTCAAAACTCTTTTGGCTGTTCAGGCACTTTGCATTTCCAAATATATTTTAGAATGAATCTGTCAATTTCTAAAACAAAAAACCGAAGCCAGCTGAAAAGAGTGGGATTGCGTTAAATCTAAATCTCAATTGAAGAGAACTGACATCGTAACATCACTGAATCTTTCAACCCACGAACACAGCACGTCTCCCCATTTCCACGATCTCCTCTAGCTTCAATCCTCCATGTTCTGCGGTTTTCATCATAAAGGTCTTCTCATCCTTTGTTATAGTTATTTATAAACATTTTAATTTTGGGGCTCTTGTAAATGGAAATGATCTAAAGTTTTGTTTTCCAATGCTCATTTCTAATATCCAGCAATATAATTGATTTCTGAATATTGACTTGCATTCCATGACCTTGGTAAATTCATTTATTTGGTAGTATTTTTTGTAGATTCCTTAGGATTTTCTATGTCAATGATCATGTTGCCTGAAGCCAAAGGGAGTTTTACCTCTTCCTTTCCAATCTGTATGCATTTTCTTTCTTTTTCTTACTTTGTTGCACAGATAGATCTTTAGTTCAATGTTGGATAGGAGTGAGAGTGGATACCCTTGCCTTGTCCTGAAACTCAGGCAACAAGCAGTGTCTGTCAGCACTCATACGGTGTTTGTACACATTTTTCACAGATGCACTTATGAGATTTAGGAAGTCCCCTTTATTTTTAGTTTGCCAAGAGTTTTTAATCACAAAAAGTTGCTAGATTTTGTCGAATGCCTTTTCTGAACGCACTGGATTGATGTGCAGAAATGGAAACAACCTGACCTCGCAACACGATGTGTCTGTCAGGCGTCTGCGACTCAGGCATTAAAAGCCTCCAGGGAGAGTTTTCAGTCGTGTCAGAAAGCACTTACATTAGAGTGCTGGGTTTTAAACAGAGGAGCTAGGACCGTGTGTATGGCCTGATCAGCTGGGTGAGGAGCAAAGTGTAAACGGTACTTAACAGAGGTCCCGTCAAAGGAGTCACAGTGCGTGGTTTGTTTGCCGTGAAACCATAAGCCGTTGTGGCTCCTCACCACGATTGGTGCAAGTCCACAGACTTCAGATATTCTACGATGAGCGTGCGGCTTTCATAAGGAGGCTTTCGGTAAGCGGGCACGGTGCCGCCTCATTACAGTGGCCCCGTGTGCATTTCTGGCCGGTTCTCCCGCTGTGATCTCAGCTTCCTGGGCACGGTTAGCACCTCTTCCCTGGCGTCTGGGGTGGTGCACAGCACAGGGAGGGTGCCCAGTAAAGACTCACCGAATGGATAAGTGATGAGTAAAGGAACGAGCGCGTGGACGGAGGGTAAGGCCGCACGTGCTGTTGAGGATCGCGGCGGCTTGGCGTCCTGGCTCTGCCCGGGCTGGCTGTGTGGAGCTGGCCAGCTTTTTACTCCCGAAGCTCGGTTTTCTTACCTATAAAACAGATACAAACCTCATATAACTGCTCATGCGGACTAGAAATAACAATTGTGAAGCACCTCACACACAATGGGTGCCTGCAAAGTGATCGCTGTTACTGGAGAGAGCTGACTGATGAAGAAAGAATCCAAATAATTCAGAAGGACAGAAACCTCCCTTTCCCAGATGAGTGTGAAGTAACAAGCTGCCGTTGACTTACTAACGGCAAATATGCCTCTGGCTAAAGCAACTGAGTCCGGCCCCTCAGCAAGAGGACGGAGCCCTGGATTCCTTCACTGTGGGTCCGGCCGAGCTCTATGCACAGAATCAGCCTGAGTGAGACCTTGGACCCAGTGTGCTGTATACAACGGACTAAGGGTGATCCCTCCCCACACCCCGGGCAGGAGTGTTGAAAGTGGATGACCACATGATTGAAACACACTCTGCAACCACAGAGTGCCGTGCATCTATCCATCTAGCGGCCGAAGGAGGACTTCTAAGCATGCTTGTGGATAAGGAATCCCAGTTGCGAACCTCTCAACCATTGGATGATACGAATCCATAAATAAATCGGTTCCTGTCTTAAATGAAGTCATGATATGGTCTCAGTGGCTAACATGCTGTTCTTTTAAAAACAGCAGCTGGCAGCATATTGTTGTTTAACAAAAGACTTGGCCAAACTCTGGGAGCCCTGAGAACATCTGGCCAAGCAGGCTGGGTCGGAGCCCGCCGGCTTCTACGGAAGAATCAGTGTCATGCCTCAGGCGGCCTCCACCTCCCCTCCCCTGCCCTGCTCACTGCAGGGGCAGATGCAGACCCAGATGCCAGGGGGCCAGGCCTCTCCTGAAGCTGGGTAAGTGGGCTTTGCAAAACTTATAATAAGTCGCAAAACTTAAAAAACGGTATTACTCTTTTGGCAAAGGAAACATCCAGACATGGGACAATGTTCCAAAGGCAAAAAAGGACATGTGAGGAACAGTAAGCCCCCTTTTTACCCATGATTTTATGAATGTGGCTTTTAACTTAGGGGAGGTGTAGGGTTCAGTATCTCTTTGAAAGTCAGGTAGCCCTGGATCCAGGCACGGCGGTGGCTCTGATGTGGCTCCGATTCACGTATTTGTTACCTCTCTGTGGCTGGCTGCGCCGGAGTGGCAGGGAGGCGGAGCCCACGGCAGAGGGGAAAGGAAAGCTGGTGTGATGGTGTGCACGGCACTGGGTGGGTGGGTCAGGCGGGGGGAGTCTGAAGGAGGAAGGAGCATCTGAGAGGCCGGATGGGCCAGAGAAAGCCAGAGAAGTCGCCTCTGGGGCACAGAGTCAAACAAGGCTGCCAAGGGCCTGAGGGGGTCGTGGGCTCCATGCATCAGCGAGTGGGCACTTTGGAGTGCGAGCCTCCGAAGGAAGGAGTGACTGTGGAATCTGTTGCCGTCTGCTGGCCTTGAAATAGCCCTTCCCAGTGCAGCTGCAGGCACCTGGGAAAAGTCTGAGGAGATTGGCAGGGAGTGTGTGCACAAAGGAAGGAGGAACCAGGACTGAGCCTGGGGGAGCATCAGGAGGAGCAAGCAAAAGAGGCTGAGGGGACGGGCAGCCAGAGGGAGGACCGAGATCGCAAATGTCATGGTCACCAGGGCGGACCCTGTTTCTGGAGGGTAAGTCAGGTGGGTGGAAGCCAGGGGTGGGGACTGGCTGCTGAATTAGGAAGCCAGTGCTAATGGTGAGGATGGCCCCACTGGGGTGTGGGCACAAGCAGCAGTTGAGGGCCTGGAAGAGTGGCCTGTTGGCAATTGAGGCAGAATGGTCACTTGTAGGAGAAGGTTTGCAGTAAACAGAGCAGAGATGGAAGGGTAAGGAGGGGCATAGGACATGGGGGACCTCATAGGATCTGAGACACTGCAGCATGCTTGTGAGCTGATGCATGACATTGCAGGGGGTGGCTGGGCAGAGAAGGGGCACATGCTGCTGGGCTGCAAATCCTTCTTCGTGAAGGTGAAGGGCCAGCACATCCACCGGATGGGAAGGCCTGTCGGCGGCTTGGAGATGGCGGGAGGGGTCAAACGGGGAAGCCAGGAGGGTGGGTGCTGGGCGAGGGTGGGGCACGGGGCTGGGTGTTCTCTAATTCAGGCACAGTCTCAGAGTAAACAAGCTCATGCTTGTGCAGGTGAGCTTCCTCGGCCAGGGAGTGCAGAGGTGTGAGGGGAGACACAGTCGAGGGCAGGGCAGGAGGCCATGCTACTTCTCAGGAAGCAGGTCCCGGGCGTTGGTGATACCTCATTTGCTCTCTATGAAGGCTGTCCTTAGCAAGTGCTGATTTTGCAAAAAGGTCAACAAGAGATGCTGTATTGGTTGGGCTGCCACAGAATGCACACAATAGGTGTCTTAAACAACAGAAATTTATTTCTTGCAGTTCTGGACACCTACAGTCTGAGATCAAGTTCCCACAGGGTCTGGTTTCTGGTGAAAGCGCTCTCTTCCTGGCTTGTCCACGGCCACCTTCTGTCCATTCAAATGACCTCTTCTTTGATTTCTGTTGGGAGTGGGAGGGTGTGTGGGGGACAGCATGTGCTCTGGGTCTCTTCTTATAAAGACACTGATTCTATTGGGAAAGGGACACACCCTTATGGCCTCCTGCAACCTGAATTACCTCCCTGTAGATGCCATCTCCACGTCCAGACACACTGGAGGATGGGGCTTCACCTTACCAATTCTGGGTGGGAATGATCACCCCTGCTGAATGAATTAGACGGTGGTTTCTAAGTCAAATGGGCTTTGGTGGAGAGGCTAGATGGTCGCTGTAAGCAGGATCCCCTGATTAACTCCAGAGGGGATGCCTTCCTTGGCAAGGGCCCAGCTGCCCGCTGTCCCTACCGACCCTGCAGGTTAACAGAGCGCACAGCTGCTGAAGGCCAGCCTGGCGGACGCTGGTCCTGGCTCTGGCCACCCCGTCCCAGCCACGCGGGCACAGCTCTCGGCGCTGGCCTGGGCAGGGGACCGGGGCTCAGAGGCGTGCTGCGCGGCCAGGCGCCTGTTGACAGCCTTTGCCTGAAAACGCTTCACTGGTAACAGTTCTGAGATCCACCTGGGACCCTCGTCCCGAGGCCCGCGACCCCGCCCTGAGACCCCGGCTCCCGCGGCCCCCGCCCCGACCACGACCCCCGTCCCGAGAGCCGCGTCCCCAGCCCGCGCCTCGCGTCCCCTTGCCCCGAGACCCCCGCCCACCTCCCCTCCTGCGCCTCTGTCCCGCCCAGGCCTCCACGCCCCTCTGAACCCCACCTTGGGTGGGGGCCCACGCGGTCTGTGTGAGAGTTAATTAAATGTCCCGGGACACCGCCTTCCACTTCCGTGGGTCAGGCGCGGGCCATAGGACCACCTCCTAGGAGCCCCTCTGCTCAGGCAGCGCTCGGGTCAGCACGCGGCCCCTTTAAGGAGGACGGTCGCTGCCGGGCCGTGACGTCACAGGAGTGCGGAGGGCGGAGACAGTGCGCTGTCTCTGCGCGGGGAGGGGCGGGGCGGGGCGG